TTTTTTCCTCTCACATTCCATGGAAAACCCAAATCCTCAGAACCCCACCCAGCCTGAGATCCCCTTATCCCTTTTAACAACACCACAAAAAAAAAATCAATAAAACACACGGCGGCTGGAAATCAGGATGGAAACCCAGGTGGTAATCCAGGTGGAAAAGCAGGGAAATTCTTTTTTTTTTCCTCTCACATTCCATGGAAAACCCAAATCCTCAAAACCCAACCCAGCCTGAGATCCCAAAATGCTTTTAACGACACCACCAAAAAAAAAAAAAAAAAAAAAAAATCAACAAATGCACAGCAGGTGGGAATCCAGCTGGAAAAGTGGGAAAATTCACTTTTTGTCCTCTCACATTCCATGGAAAGCCCAAATCCTCCCAACCCAAGACACAAAAACGCCATTAATGACCCATCTCAAACACATGGACAGATGGAAATCAATGGAAACCCAGGTGGAAACCCAGGTGGAAATCCAGCTGGAAATCCAGGTGAAAAAGTGGGAAAATTCACTTTTTGTCCTCTCACATTGCATGGAAAACCCAAATACCCTTTTAACAACACCGCCAAAAAAAATCAGTAAAACACATGGCAGATGAAAATCTGGATGGAAATCCAGGTGGAAACCCAGGTGCAAACCCAGGTGGAAACCCAGACAGAAATCCAGGTGGAAACCCAGGTGGAAACCCAGCTGGAAACTCAGCTGGAAACCCAGGTGGAATTCCAGGTGGAAATCCAGGTGGAAACCCAGGTGGAAACCCAGGTGGAAACCCAGGTGGAAACCCAGGTGGAAATCCAGATGGAAATCCAGGTGGAAATCCAGGTGGAAACCCAGGTGGAAGCCCAGGTGCAAATCCAGGTGGAAGCCCAGGTGGAAACCCAGGTGGAATTCCAGGTGCAAGCCCAGCTGGAAGCCCAGGTGGAAGCCCAGGTGGAATTGCAGGTGCAGTCCCAGGTGGACAATCCGTGTGTCCCCGTTCCCCGTACCTGTTGTCGAAGTAGAAGAGCCCCTTGGCGGGGTCCACGCGCAGGAAGGTGGCCACGTCCTCGTAGTTGGGCAGGGTGGCGCTGAGCCCCACGAGCCGCACGTCCTCCTGCGTCATCTCGATGTTGCGGATGGCCCTGGCCACCAGCGACTCCAGCACGGGCCCGCGGTCGTCGTGCAGGAGATGGATCTCGTCCTGCCACAGAACAGCCCCACCCTCAGCCCTGGGCTGGCCTCGTGGGATCACAGAGCTCACCTGGGGACACACCTGGACAGGCCACACCTGGACAGGCCACACCTGGCCTCGGGCAGCCGCAGGGATCCCGGCTCCTCATCGCCCTCAAAGGAGGGAATTCTTTCCCAAAATCCCGGCTGAACGTGGGATCGTGGACCCAGATCCACCCTGAGAACACCCTGGGGTTCCCCACCCCAAACCCCTGCAGGAACCCCTGAGGAGCCCCACCCCAAACCCAGATCCACTTTGAGGAACACCTTTAGGAACGCCCTGATGTTCTCCACCCCAAACCCCAGAACTTTGAGGATCACCTTGAGGAACATCTTGGGGTTCTCCACCTCAAATCCCAGACCCAATTTGAGGAACCCCCCGATTTTCTCCACCCCAAACCCCTAAGGAAGCCCCAGGACCCCACCCCAAACCCCTTGAGGAACCCCCTGATATTCTTCCACCATACTCCTGGAGGAACCCCCTGATGTTCTGCACCTCCAACCCCTTGAGGAACTCCTGTAGGAACTCCTGATGTTCTCCACCCCAAACCCCCTGGAGGAACCCCCAATGTTCTCCTCCCCAAACTCCTTTAAGAATCCCCAGGGCCGCACCCCAGACCCCTTAGGAACCCCTCGATGTTTTCCACCCCAAACCCTTTAGGAACCCCCCAGGCCCCCCCCAGCCCCCCGAGGCCCCCCGGGGTGCCTCACCAGGATGATGAGGCGCACGAGCTGGGTGTAGGTGCGCTCGCCGCCCTTGCGGGTGATGATGTCCCATTTCTCGGGCGTGCACACGATGATCTGCGTGGCGCTGATCTCCTCCTTGCACAGCTGGTGGTCCCCGGTCAGCTCGGCCACCGTGATCCCGTACGTGGCCAAACGCTGGAAGGACCCAAGGGATGAGTGTGGGGAGACCTTTCCATGGAGGAGTGATCCCAAAACCCCTCCCTAACTTCTCCTGCCACGGTTTGAGGGGGTTCCCTCCTGCCCTGCTGTTCCCTGTTCCCACATCCCAAATCCCCCCGGGACGTCCCCTCCTGGCAGGGAGTGTAGAGCCCCCCTGATCCCCCTTTCCCCCAGGCTGAGCCCCTCCCCAGATCCCTCAGGAATTCTCCATCCCTGGATGCCCTCCAGCCCCATAACCCATCCCTGATCCCCCTTTTCTGAGCCCCTCCCCAGATCCCACAGGAATCCTCCAGAGCCTTCTCCTTGTTCTCCAACCCCTTTCCCACCTCCATTCTCAACCCCAAACCCTCCACAATCCCAAACCTTCCCTGGGATCCGACCCCACTCATCCCCAACCCCTCAATGATCCCAAACCTCCCTTTGGATCTGACCCCACTCATCTCAACCCTTCCAGGGCCCTGATCCCAAATCTCCTTTTAGACCTGATCCCAAACCTTCCCTGGGATCCAACCCCACTCATCTCCAATCCCTCAATGACCCCAAACCCTCCCTCAGACCCAATTCAAAACCTTCCCTGGGATCCAACCCTGCTCAACCCAAACCCCGCATGGATCCAATCCCGAACCCCCCATGGATCCAATCCCAAATCCCCCAGTGCCCCGATCCCAAACCCCCCATGGATCCAATCCCAAACCCCGCATGGATCCAATCCCAAACCCCCCATGGATCCAATCCCAAACCCCCCATGGATCCAATCCCAAACCCCCCATGGATCCAATCCCAAACCCCCCATGGATCCAATCCCAAACCTCCCAGTGCCCCAATCCCAAACCCCCCCATGGATCCAATCCCCCATGGATCCAACCCCAAATCCCCCATGGATCCAATCCCAAATCCCCCATGGATCCAATCCCAAATCCCCCATGGATCCAATCCCAAACCCCCCATAGATCCAATCCCAAACCCCCCATGGA